GGGGGGGACCTTCTAGTGAGGGGACCTACCAGATGTTCCCCAAAAACAAAAGTCAGGCATAGAAAATCAAAGTAACAAAATTTTTCAATCTTTTATAGATCATGACTAACTGACAACATTAAAATTGTTGAAAAGACACAAACAAAAACCAAAAGAGAACTTAAGTAACAATCATCCTATTTGGATCAGCATTTACTGCTGGATAGGGTGACAAAGGAACCACCACAATCATAAGGAGTATCAGTAACATCAAAAATAGCATATAAAAATAATGGAAGAGTTACAAGGCCTGCTAATATTTGTTTGTATTCAAGTAAACTTATAGAAAAGTATATAGTATTTGATTATTTCTAAAAAGTAATGCATTCTAGACAATACGTAGTGCTGTCTGTTGGAATCTTTCTCCCTGCCGTTACTTCAGTTGGAGTAGTTTGACCGACACAATTGAGAATTAGTCTTGTGGTGGCAGCCAATGATCCATCAAAATTAGAGCCATTAGTAGAATGTACCATGTAATCTGACAAAAGATTAAAGAGTTGTTAAGGCATGCTATTATTTGATTGTATCTAAATAAAATTAAAGAAAAAGTATTGAGTATTTCATTTGGTAAAGTAATGAGAGCATTCAAGACTCTACTTACTGCTGTCTCTTGAATCCCTTCTCCCCTGTTGCTTTGGTTGATGTTTTTTGACCAATACGACTGACATTTAGTACTGCAGTGGCAGGAAAGAAACCCCCATCATCAGAGTAGTTAGTAGAATCAGAAATGATGTCTGAAAAATAATTATAAGAATGTTACAGACATGAAAACATTTGGTTTGTCTTTAAAATTTAAGAACTTTATCTGAAAAGAAATTATAGCATTTACAGATACTACTAACAGTTCTCTTGTGAATGAATTCGTGCATCATTGTCAGGGGACTCTGCCTGCACTGTATGCTGCTCCTGGCCTCCCCTGGCCTTAATCAGAAATAGAACTGCAACTGGGAAATTGTACAGAAAAGAATACAAAACCACAAAATAATTTGAATGCAAAAGGAAATATGTTAAAGGCTTATGCAATACTACTTCATTTAAACTTAAGACCTTTAGAGTGCACACAAAATATATAAGTTAAGTAGATTTGCAAAGAAGCTCTAAAACAATAAAAATGCATTTGCATTTAAAGAAAGAAAGGAAAATGGTAGCAAGATACTGCGGCCACAAACATAACTCGAACATACCATTGCCTTTTAGCTCTGACTCATTTGAGAAAATGGCCCGTTTCATAGAATGCTTAACTGGTGGAAGCATCTGTCCTTCATCCCACTTTGTCACGGATGGGGAGCAGCATATGGAAGAGGTGCACATTAAAGATCTGCGGACAAATGTTTCCCAAATATAGATACAAAACAAATTAAAAGTGTAAAAAAAACAAAAAACATCTTACATGAAGCTTATTATTATAAAGAAATGTAAATTTAAAGCACACCATGTAACACCTTCAAATCTTACCTGCAAGATCTAAAACATTCCAGCTACCAGCCACATCAGGGGAAGCACAATAGAGGCACACAAAGCACACCTACAGTCCGTACCTCAGGGGCTCCATACAATAGCAGTAGACCTAATCAAATAAAAAAGATTTATCTACAATTTGAACCAATGAAATTTCACTAAACAATTTTATTGGTCATGCTTTTACCTTAAATTTTCCATCACTGGAAACTATAGGTCACCAGAACATGCATTTACTCACCATATAGAATACTTCAGATTGTGATTGTGGATGGGTCGAATTGCATGGTTGTTACGATGTGTATCTCAGGGAGGCAATAACTACTGATGAAGGAAAGAAACTATTGAGGGTATTTAAAGTAATTCCCAACTACTACAAATAATTTTGATGGTGAGGCAAACATTATCAGGTATCTTTTAAACTGTAAATAAGCTTTGCATGGCTACAGATGTCATTATATATCAAGTGAAGAAAAGAAGTTATATTTTTATACTTTAAAATCAAGAGCAATATCCTAAACCAAGTTTTGCACAGCTTTAAAAGTAAGATAAGAAATGAAGTGTGCCACAAAGGTTTAACAGTGTTTTCCTCTTTTGAATCAGTACCAGTTTCAGATAAAACTACAATGGCCTCTCTAATTAGACTTACTGATAACCTGCCAAAACTTGCTAGTGGTTCAATGACAGACAACACAAGAATACTGATTTTCCAGAAACAAATTATGAGATAATAAGAGTTATGTGCAACCTTCATCGTTCATGAACCAGTCTGGAGGGTATTCTAATGGGGCGTCACTTGAAATCCTGGATACGGTGTCCTCTTGTCAATCCTGCTGCTACCTAACCCATGTCTCGGTTCTTGTGTCTGAAAATAATATTAATACATACGTATAACAATCCTTTCAATACAGCAATTTGATTGAGATTAAACTCCCTACCAGCAGTAGCTTTTAGTACCCTCTGGTTGAGTAAACATATCAAGCCCTATTGCTCACCTTGATAATCAAAGTTACTTCCCAGTAGGAATCAACAAACAACCGAAGACAATCACTTCCTTTCTCGTTCAGTGTCCCACGGGTGCAAGTTAATAATCTATCCCGGCAGGAAAGAAATTGTGAAATTGTTCCAGTCGACTTGGAACTCTCCACAAAGGAATTGTCAGTTGCGATGAGTAACAAAATACCTGGAACAGGGAATCATGACATGAGTAAATTAGTGTAACACTGTCTGACAGTGAGACCACACCTAGACAAGAGATATTTTTCTCTAGAAAATACAGCAAATATGAAAGTTAGTCCAACCAACAAAATCACAAACATATGTCGAACGAAAGTCGAAATTTGAATCGGTACAGTAGTGAGAGAAACGGAGAGCGTACAGAAGCAACAGGCTAGTGCAAAAGCACTGGCAAATCAATTTCGTAACTCGGAATTTCGTAACTCCACAAGCTTGCAAAGGTTATGTTCATCTCCTCACCTTTGGAGAACTGTTACAGTTGGTTGTACAAAAATACACGGTTGCCTCCATCCCCTTACTGACATCAAACATCAATGTTTGGAAAGCGGTACAATCAAAAAATATTGTGTGAACGATCGCCTTCAAAGTTCGCCAGAGTCAACAACCGAGCGACCCCGGCAACTCTCTCCACAAAACTACCGGCGTCGTTGAGAACGGCGGCGCAATGAAGCAACAGCAACAGCACATGAAGTTCTAACTGTTACGTCCAACCACAATTTGCGTGTATTATATTTTTAATTTCATAATAATAATAAATATTACAATGAAGGCTAACGCAAAAGGCGGCGTCCAAAACAGAGAGCAGGTACGGAGTGTTATCTGACCGTCAACTCTTCCATCATTCGTGTTTTCAGCCAGGGTGCCAAGCCCAGAAAACTGAACAACCCTGCCCTGAATGCAAAATCTAAAAACGTTGCTCTGTAAACAAAGACTATCCATTCACAAAACAAAAAAAAAAATCATCCAATGAATAATTCGGAGGTGTTAAAACGAGGAATGGTAGTGATGTTAGGCCGACGATGTGCGACTCGCTGGGGGCGGTCCGTTGGTGTGCCTGGCTGGTGGTGAGGCGGCGCGGCGCGC